CAGTGTGGTCTTTCTTCCGGTTCTCATTGATCTTCTCAATCAGCTGCTGTGTTCTTTTCTGCAGATTTTCAATGTTGGAATCCAGGGCTGTGAAATAATTGGCTGACTTGCCATCCAATGCTGCTACAGGCACATCTGCAGTGGGGCAGAGCAAAGATGTGCTGGGAGATTCCTTCCTGCATTTAAATTTAAATCAATGAGCATGGTTTGTATCATATTCCGTTTTAGCCTGACTTACAAGCAAAGACCCAAACTTTGGTGAGTTTGAGAACTCATTGTGAAAGCGTCCACTTTGTTTCCAGGCAAGAATAACTGGCATATCTGAAGCAAAGAGGAAAGTTTATCTGCTCTATGTAAAAGGCAAACTTCTCATCCTTTCCCTTGCTGTCACTAGGGATGTAAAAACCTGTTGAATCAGTTTACTGGTTAAATGTTACAGTTAACTAGTAATCGATTAAGTGGGAGCCCATGAAAGGCTGGGCTAGAGCAGCCCCCCCCCCCTGCCCCCACCCACTGGTGGGGCCAGCAGTCCTGGTGCTGGCTTTTGGCCCTTTGGGGCTGCCAGCTGCTGGCTCTGCAGGGCTGCTGGTTAACCAGTTACCAGTAAGTATCAGCCAGTATGGGTTATGCTTACCATGTAACTGGTTGCCGATTCACATCCCTAGCTGTCACTCTTAAAACCAGACCTAGAAAGTCAGATCCTCCCCTGGTCAATGGTGCCTTTAGGCCAGGAAAAAAGGTTGCAGCAGTACAAAAGTAACATCACAATTCAATAAATGAAGAAAAATTACCAAGACTAGAGCCAAAATTATCCAGCAAAATCAGATGCCAAATAAAACCATTGCCAGCTATTTTGTTAATTTCTCTCATGTGGGAATTTTAGTCCTTTACATTTGTTTATCCAATAATTAAAGCGGCTTATTAATCAGAATCCATTCATCACAAACTTGACAGCTTCAGTGTTGGCTAATTATATTTTATAAGGGAAATACAGAATCCCTGTTGGCTGACTTGTTTGTGAAACTTCTTCTGCAGTGCTAGCAAAACTGACATCTAATTCCATTTGATGGGGGGGGGGGAATGACACACATAATGAGCAGCCTCAGGATCTAAATCAGTAGCCTTGCCTATGGAAAGCAGGGTGCTTAGGATCGGCCTTCTGGGTACGTTATTGCATTAGAAAATTACAGCCGGTAGTGCTCAGGATCCCTGCTCAACTCCTGATGCTATTGGCCAGCACTTTACGTCAATGTTTCTTAACCTTGCCGTATGTTGCCGTGTGTTGGCATTTGATCCTGAGGAGGAGTGGAGGAAAGGGGTCTAAATAAACCAAGCCATCTGCCAAGGTGAAGCAGTTCAGTGATGGAATTAAAAGCCAGAGACACCTGCTGTTGATTAGCACTGTCCTCCTGTACAGAAATACAAGTAAACAACCCACATGCCAGGTGGTTTGGTGTGTACACTATGTACACAGGACTGCAAGAAAGGCAGCGTGGCCCCCTGGGAGTGAGGGGCCCTGGATGCTAAATAAATATACTAAGGGCATATCTACACTAGGGAATTGTTGTGAAATAACAAAATTGAAATTACATGTTCCCCCTACAGGGGAGCCTCGAAATTAGTCCAAGGCAGGCTCCATTATTGTGGATGTGCTACCATGACTTAGTGTCCCAGGAAGCACTGGGGAGTAATTACTTCGAATTACTCTGGGGAATAGTTATTTTGAAATAGCAGCAATGGAGAATCCACACTACCAGTTTTGAAATAAATAAGTGTTATTCCTTGAGGAAAGCAGGTGTACAGATTTCGAAATAACCAGCTAATTCATAATAGGCTTGGTAGTGTGGATGCTCCACTTATTATTTTGAAATAACTCCCTAGTGTAGACTAGGGCTAAATATGTGAAGTGCTCAAGTACTGAGGACCATTTAAGTCCCAAAGGCTATGTTTTACACTGGCGGGGTCTTGCGCAAGAATGGCTGATTTTCTGCAGAGCGTCCACACTGCCCGCCCGCTCTTGCGCAAGAAGATTTACAGTAAAGCGTAGTAAGAGAGGGCTTCTTGTGCAAGAGCTATGCTCTTTTCTAACAAGCCTAAGCTCTCTTGCGCAAGAGAGCAGTGTGGATGCACGGTAGGGGTTTCTTGCGCAAGAAAGCCCTCTGGCTAAAATGGCAATCAGAGCTTTCTTGCGCAAGAGAGTGTCCACACTGCCATGGATGCTCTTGCACAAAAGCACATGGCCGTGTGGATGTGTTCTTGCGCAGGAACTCTTGTGCAAGATGTTCTTGCGCAAGAACCCGCCAGTGTAGACATAGCCAAAGAGAGGAGTTGAAAGATGAACTGCATAGCATCACTGCTTCTGTCCAAGAGCTTGTCTACATGTAGCTTCTACTTCAGTTTCAAACCAGTACAATCTTCTACTGTGGGTACTGTTCACTAAATTTAGATCTTGCCTTGGACAAATGAAATTAATATAGTTACAAACAACTCTTGATCTGGTCTGAGTGTCTTTTATTTCAGGGTAGCATAAGTCATTGCATCCACACACTAGGGGTAACCCAGGTAATTATACTAGTATCTAAACATACTCTAAGGCCATGTCTACACTAGGAGATTATTTTGAATGTACTAAGTTTGTATTCTGGGAACCTAATTTAACAAATTCAAACTTCCGTGTCCTTACTGCGGGGAATCATCGAATGTAGGCCGAGGCAAGCTTCCTTAATGTAGACGCGCTACCTTGGACTTAGAGCCTCAAGAAGCACTCTGGGGAGCTGCAGGAAGCCTCCGGGGGGGCCTATTAGTTCAAACTAGTGGCACTAGAGCATCCACACTAACATTATTTCAGACTTACAAGTTTGGGAATAGCATTATTCCTCATGAAAAACAGGACTACAGAGTTCAAATTCCATGGTCCCTTATTCTGGAGTAACAGGCTTGGTAGTGTGGACACATTGCTTACATATTTGACCTTGGGGGAGGAAGGTTATTTCGGACTATGGTCCTAGTGTAGATCTGGCCTAGCTGAAATAGTTACATGGTACAAAAACGTGTGTTTAGAGTAGGCTTAGGTACACTGACCAGCACCATCTCTTTACAAGCAGTAGATGTCCTGGAAACCAGCTTACAGGACTTAAAATGAGTAATTCTGCCCCTTCCCAACATAGAGATCATTGGGAGCCATTACATAGGCAGCACTTTGCATCAGTGAACCTCAAAGCACTTTACACAAAAGGCCAGTATCATTACCTTCATTTTACAGATGGGGAAACCAAGGCACAGGTACTTCCTTGCCCAAGTTCACCCAACAAACCAGTGGCAAAGTCAGAAATTGAACCAAGGTCTCTGGGTGCCATTCCCATGCTTTATCCATTAGAAACATCGCCTCTAACTTAGGAATGCAATTAAAATTACTGTGCATACCCAATTATATTAATTAGAAAATGGAGTCTGATTACAGGCTGTGAAATTGCTACAATTAACATTATAAACAAGCAATGCATTGCCAACTATATATTTCTTAAAAACACCTTTCTCCCTTTGGGAAGTTTCTGTTGATGTTCTCATGGCACAAAGCACTGCATTTTCTCCCCTTTTGCTGTCTTTCAGCCAATGTTAGCCAAAGGTCTGGGCAAAATGCCTCACCTGGACAGGATCTCACTCTGTAATTCACGTCTTTGTATATCAGCAAAGAATGGGCTGTCTGGTTTAGCCTGCTCCTCTTCTGGCTCTGGACTTTCACATTCCTGATTAGACATTATAACCTTTAAAAATGAGAGATGTTTCAGGAGGTGCATGGATCAGGCACTGTACTGGGGGTTATTCTAGCTTTTGGCTCTGGTAACTTGCTATGTGACCTGGGCCAGTCGCTGCCCTTCTGCCTTTTCTATTTAGAGCAGGGAGACTCAACTTTGGAAGCCCCGGGAGCCACAATGATACTCACAGCACATGCCAAGGGCCACAACTTAAGTGTGGTTACATGCAAATATACATGCAAATATATGCAAATATTTTCTTTCACACTGACAGGCATGAATACAAAGATTAAGGCAAGACTACACAACACACAGGCCCCATTTAAGTCAGTTCTGCTGATATTAATAAAAATGCAATATTTACCCAATTTCCACTCATATATCAGCACTTTTGATGAGCAATGACAGCCCAGGAATTTAACTACTAAAACACACTTCAACAGAAGAAGTGTGCATGTATATTATATTGACTACTTCTTTGTTTTAGCTCCCACCCATGGGCTGCAAACAAATGGGCCATGTGCCGCATGTTGAGTAGCCCTGATTTAGAGCATAAGTTCTCCACTGCAGAACCGTCTCTTACAAACTATTTGTACAACCATTAGCACAATGGGGCCCTGATCTTGTTGCAGCCTCTAGTCACTAAAATAACACATATAATTAATAACAGGATTAAAATCACTGACTTACATGGGCTATTGAGTCAAACTGAGAGTTTTAAACATGTTCAGTAGAGCCTGATGAGAACTTTTGAGGATATTTTTGGGAGGGCTGGAAAAAAATGATTCCTCCTAACTGAAACTTCCCAGGGAAATATGTATTTTTAATTAATTTGTTTTGTTTTGAACGAGTTTTGGACAATATTGAAACATCCTTATTTGACATTTTTGTCATTGAACATTTGGAATGTTCAGTTCAAAACTGATTTTTGTTTAAGAATGTATATTTTATATTTTATAAATGTTTTTTAAAAGGTCAAAACTGAAACACAACACATTGAATTAATCAAAAGGAAATGTTTCCATTTGTTCCAAATGAGTTTTTCAGAGTTTCGGTTTGTGATTTTGGCTCTTCCTCCTTATCTAGGACAGGAAAAAAGTCAAACTCTCAAAATTTGTCATAGAACTAGTGAGGAAGAGATAACAGATTCAATAGTAGAGCTAGCCATTTCCTGACTAGCTCGAATATTGAATGTGTTATCTCTTCTGCACTAGTTCTCTACTGATATAAATACATTCGAGTTACTCTCAATTCCCATAGAAATCTGGATAAAATAAAATATTTGTATCTATGATTTAATTTTGCCCAAGGTAGTTTGAAATAGTCTGTATTGTATGAGACATTTTATAGGACAAAATTTGCTAAACGCTTATATATATTGCAAGAAAAACTGTTACAACACTGAGGATATATAAATAAATATAAAGCCACGGTAACTCTACAGGAATTTGAAACTACATCTGTCTAGAAATATTTTTATCTTTGTAAGTGTATAAGTCATTTGTATTCACCTGAAATATAAACTGAGATAAGTGTTTTTGTTATTGATGTATGTACAGCACTTAACCCTATCTCCAGTCAAGAGGGTTTACCAATTGTTACAATAGAAATAATTATGATTAATAATAAAGCACCTAGAACTACAGGTTTACCTGGATTTAAAAGTGTGATTTTGTGTGACCTTAACCAAGATCTTCAAAACTCTGTAAGAAATTAATTTTTAAAAAGGAGAGATAAATACATTCAATGATTGTTAAATTCATATAATTTACTAACTGGAAAGTTGCAGGAAGCTAGCTGTTGATCAGTCTTTACAATTCTGCACTGCACCCTTACTAGGAAAAATATCGATTTTGGGATTGCACAACATTTGCTGTGTTTTTTTGAAAGTCCCAGCTCCTGGGATCACATAAGCATGTGAGGTTTCATTAAAACCAACAAATGAAAGAAGTCATTCCTAGGCCTTGTGGTTGAGGAAATATGCTTGAAATCATGACCCCTTCAAAATGGCAAATAATCAGAAACCCAGCTTGATTTTTCCATTCATTTAAAGCCAAGCGCATTACTTTTTTAGGGTTTTGGCTTGGATGTTTTTGGTTTGGAAGTGCTGTGACTATAATAGCTGCTTTTTTGAAACGCGACAGATCAAAGATTTTCTCATGGTCGAATACACCCTAAAAGAGTGTATTCCCCCTGAGTCTGAATTGCAATGGTAAGCACGAAATACATTGAAATCGGTCAATTCAATCCAATTAGAGGAGCGGGATAGCTAGATGGGTGCTGTCCGGCCAGCTACAGGAACAGATCTGTGACCCCACCATGTGCACTAGTCCTGCAGTTGGATTGAAGGGCGTAGGATGGGGTTGCTTGTTTTGTCCCCTCCTGTGGGTGGAGCAAGGCGGGGGGTCCCCTGTGGATGGGTGTGAGGCGCCCCTAGGGGAGACCCCATGGGGCCGTGGGGGGACCGTGGGGCAGTCCCATGGATGGAGGAGATCCCAGTATCAGTGCTGA